AATGATATAGCTATTGATTTTGAATTTGAGTCTGAAAATGAGCAGGTGGTGGATATGGATGTGTTTGAAGAATAAGTTAGATATATTTCTTTTGCTTTACATTTTTAAAGTTTTAAGATTAAAACTTATTTTAGTTTGAAGAATTTGATTATTTTAAGTTTGATTTCTTTGTTGAACTTTATTCTATAATTTTATTTATTAATTTTTTTTTATTTTTTATTCAAACATAAATTTTGATAAAATAATTTTTAGAAAATAATTAAATCTTTTTTAAAAATATGATATATAGATAGAAAAATTTATAAAAATTAACAAAAATTTTGCTAACGCCTAAGCTCCGCCTAGTCACCGACTAATCCGCTTAGGCGCTAGTCTCCTATCACCCGCCTAGCCACCGCCTAACGATTTTTTGAACATTGACATTTATAATTAAATTTTAATTTGGAAAGAAAAATTGAACCAGTCTATAAAAAACAAATGTTGTTTGAGATTCTCATTGGTTCTTTATTGAGAACTCCATCTTATTCTCTCTCTTCCTTTTCAATTCTTTTTTTTATGCCATAGTTTCATAAAAACCTCCTATCAAATGGCAGTGGTATTACAAATCTGGTATTCAAATTTATGTATGAAGATTGTGCTTGTAGCTTTCGCATTGAAGCCTCAGAACAATCTTCTTCGTGGTCTTAGCATGTTCAAAGGGTTAAAAAACATGCGTCTCAGCCTAGAAAAAGATGATTCTAGTGAATGTTTTTCTCTCTCTCTCTCTCTCTTTCTCTCTCTCTCTCTCTCTCTCTCTCTCTCTCTCTCTCTCACTCTCTCTCTCACAACTCAGTTACAAGAGTCTAAGCAAAAGAACTCAAAATTAAGTTTACTACCAAAAGTATTTCACATGATTTTTTTTTGTTTGAAAGAGTAAGTGTGGAGGCAAAGATCAGGTCAGTTCTGACACTACAACATAAGTTGTTCCCTACATTGATTAAAGATATAGACAAAACTTTGATCAATCGAATTAACTATCTTAATTCAAATACAACACCATCTGCAAGTGTTTTATATTTACCTTCTTGTGGAGTAACCAGTAGAAGTAATCTATGGAGTAACTGTTAGGGTTCCAGAATCGATTGTTTAGCCTATGAGAAGATCTTTGAGAAGAAAATCGGTGCCAGTGCATTGTTCTACACTTGTAACGAAGACTTTTGTTGCTCCATTTATCAGACTTATTGTGTAAATAGACCCCTGCTTCACGTTGTTTAGCCATGAGTATGTGGTGAAGTTGAAAATTTTGACGGCTCCACTGTATGTATGTGGCTTTGAAGGTCTTCAAATTATAAAGAGCAACCACCGTTTGATCGCAGTCACAGTTTCAGGGGCTCTGCGATTGCCAAACGAACATGCCCTAATATTATCTCTGTCTTTTATGGTGGTGTTTTGGTTGTTTTTCATTTTAAATATCATAACTATTAGATCTTGGTTTGATAATATATTATAGGACAATTATCTAAAATGGCCCAAAAAACTTTAGTTTTTAAAAAAAGAACTCCTCATTTGGAAGGGAACAACTATATCCTTCGTTATTAAACCTAGAAAACACGCATTTATTCTAATTTCTCCTTCAAACCTTCACAAACCTCATGTAAAACCTAATTCGATTTTTTCAGAGAAAACTTCATCGATTTCGCTTAAAATCAAGGTCTGAGAGCGGAAGAACAAGCATCGCGCATCAGTTAGGGTAAGTATTTTAGATTGGGTATCGATTTTTGTTAGATTGGGTATCGATTTTCGTCAGAGATCGGAGAAATAGTTAAATTCGGTCTGATTGGTACCTTTTGTAGGTTCTGAAGGCTGGATTGTGGGGTATTGGGTGTTAGATCATGTTTGATTTTAGACTAGGGTTATATTTTTTGTTTGAAAAAATTTAAGAATGTCTTCCTGAATTGTTTTCATAAATCCGAAAGCATTCCTAAAACTGTGACAGTGCAATTGAGTTTGTGTTTTCTGAATTTCAAAAATGATTCTCAATGGATTTGTTTCCTCCTTTCCAAAATATTAAACCGCCTAAGCTTCATTTCAACATAGGAAAGAAGCCGAATCAAGAACTAGGCCCAGTAGTCAACCAGTTTGCTTCTTTTAAGATGATCGATAAAGTCAAGAAATAACTCAGTATTGAAGAATTTCAGAGAGTAAAGAACACATTCCTGAGACTGATCCTGAAGCTTGCTTTAAAAGATTCCATGCTGATGTCAGGGAAAATGGTGCACTTGTTGCTTACTAGATCTCTCAAAACTGTCATACAATCTATATACCTAATTAAATAAGAACCATGATGAAAACAAAAAAAGTAATAATGTTTAGAATAACTAAATAAAAATTATTCTGGATAAAATGTAAAAGTGTTACCAAAAACTGTCAATAAAGTTGATGATAAAATGTATAGTTAAACAAAAAAAAATACTGATTGTTAAACAAAAAATAAACTATAAAATATTTGACAGGAATTTTATGTCATCTTAGAGTTTCAAAAACACTTCAAACATCTGAAATTATTAAGAAACATTCTAAACGTGATCTTTGAAGGTTTTTTAACGATTCAGGAAGACTTATTTAAAGTAGTACGAATTTTTCCTGAAAATTAGGATGATGTTCTTGAATTGAAAATTTAAGAAGGTTTTGAGTTGCACTAACAAACAAATACACTACTTTAATTATTCCTAACAATTTAGGAAGCCTTCTCATGTTTACATGAATACCTTCCTAAATGTTTACCGGATCGGGTTTTTCAGGGACGATCGAAGTGCTCTCCGGTATGATGTCGCTTGCGACAAGCGTGACTTCAGAAGAATCAGTTCGTCGGACCAATCACGGATCTTTAGAAAAGTGAGAATAATCTCTTTGATCTCCAGCTCTGTACAGTTAACCGGAATTGTACCCCTTCGCCGATGAATTGAAATCGAAGATGATCGACTCATGAAAAATGATGTAATCTCTTAATTGTCAGTGAATTAAAATTAACAATGATCGGTAGCAATAATCTAGTCAATTTCAATTAATTCATCTTATCTTTAATGAATGTTATAGTTGTCCCTTTCCAAATGAGAGGTTATACTAGAGATAGTTTAGTTTTCTGTGGCTATTTCATTCAATCTCTCTATATTATATAATACTCATAAATTACACTTGTTTCATTTCTTTCCATTAATAAACTGGAAACTTATTATTCATTTTATGGTTTGAAAAAGGAAAAAAAAACATCAAAGCTTTAATCATTTGAAGATAATAAAAATTGAGGATATTACGGCATCTTGTCATCTTGATGAGAAAGTTATAAAATCTTAGAATTATATATATATATATGTATAATCAGAGTTGTGTTTGGACACAGGCTAATGAAGCATCAGTTTCAGGGCCGGTGACTTTAAATTTTATTTTGGGACCAATTTTGCAAAATTTAAACTAGTCCAGTTGGTCTTGTATAGTTAGAAACAGGTCATATTTGTTGACTTCGCGAATTCAATTCTCCTCAGATGTGCGTGTTTGTGACGGGTTTTAACTGCACTAATAAGAGTTTTTATATAAAAATAGCAATGGGCTTTTAACAAAGAAAATGTCTAAAGGGGTCAATTTTTTTTCTTGGTTTGTAGTCCATAAAAAGTCAGGTCGGCTCTGTGTATAACGACCTTTTTTTGTTTGTTTTTTAATCGAAAGGTTCTTATTCGTAACGAAAAAACTTTCATTATATACCCTATTAAGTTAAACATGAAATTCTATTAGATCAGTATAATTCTAAAAAATACCGATCTATTTGAATAAGAATCTATTTAACTTGGGGTAATTCAATACGTAAAGAACTCAATTCTCTTTTCTGTAAAACTTTCCGTCAACTTTTAGTATCAAATATTAGGTAATCTAATGTTCCAATTCAAGTCAAAAAGTCAAATTAACATACATAAAAAAAACCCGATATCCAAATAGAATTAATTAGTATGATGTAAAAGAGTGATTCATTTCGCTTAATCGCTTGTTCGTGTTTCTTTGAATGTTCTTTTTAATATATAAATTTCCTACGAATAAAAGAAAAATAAAAAGAGAATCATAAATATTTTCCTAGAAAAATAAAAACAATTCTTGCATGGCAAGCACGGATGAAACGATTCTATATACAAACATCTCATCAGCTACGATTATGCCCCAAGCATCTCGCTCCTCTTATATCTACAAATATCTCATCAAGTATTGATGCGTGTTACGAAGATCTCCATGACAACAAAAAAAGATGCATGTGGGATATCTGTGGGTTTTATGTTAACGAGGAATGCATCAACGTCAACATTCATTCTCATCAAAATTATAACACATTCTCAAGCTCACAAAGTTTTGTCAAGACTCAAGAGGACGATGGCACATGTTTTCTATGTGAAATCGCGTTGCCTTCTTTAGTGTATCAGTGCTTACCGTGTTATTTCTTTGTTTGTGTCCCTTATGCAAGGCCCATGAGCATGAACCCCACCAAATCGCTATAAAACTTTCATTCATTTGTGATGCATGTGGGTTATATGCACTACTAAATACCCTTGTATTTGTCTTCAATGTTGTTTCATAATCCATAGAGCATGCATTCTCTTACAATGTGTTATATACATCAATCGATCACCGTATATAAGTCCAGCTAATATTCGGGCATATGTATCTAAATTTTTGAAATTTTTGATTTTCGTAATTTCCCCAATGCAATTATAATTATTTTCACATATTTTCCTTTATTCTGATTCCTAATTTGACTAGTGGAAAAGAAACGTGTCCAGCTAATATTCGGACATACTAAAATATCTAAAAGAAAAACAAAAAAAATTAAAAGCAACAATTTTTTAAAGGGGTTTCTTGCATTGGAATTAAGAGAGGTTTTTGTTACAATAAAAGAGACGAAAAGAATCATTTCCTCCTCAAGATACATCATACGTAATAATATAAAAATACATATCAAATCAATTCCTTACAATAAAAATATGGAAGAAATAGAGCAAATCCATGAAGGGTTTCTTGGTGCAGTTAAATTGGATGCTCATCGTCATCTTTTATTCCCTACAAACACCTCTTCTAAATGCATTGTGTGTTCTAAAGAGAGACATGAAAACACCAAAGGCTTCTCTTGTAATCAATGTAAGTTGTATTTTCACAAAGACTGCATTGAGATCACCATCCCTTCTCATCATAGACATCCTCTCAAGCTCCACGATCGTAAGAAGCCTTATAGTATACGTAACCGATGTTTTCTTTGTGGATACACGTTTTTGGATATGTTCTACTACTGTTCACGTTGTGTGTTCGACGTGTGTATGTCTTGTCTAAAGATGCCACTGATTATCGACCGGCCGAGAGCTCACGAGCACCCGCTTTCCCTTATGCCCATCAATTCAATCTCCTTCACTTGTGAGGCTTGTGGTTGTGGAGCTGGTGGCTCATATCCTTGTATCTGTCTTCGGTGTAGCTTCATCATCCATAAAGATTGCATTGATCTACCACGTGTCATATGTATCAATCGTCATGATCACCGAATTTCTCATGTTGATATTCTGAGTCCAGAGGAATGGAGTTGTGGAGTTTGCCATATGTCTATTAACAGCCAATATGGGGCCTATTCTTGTTCGGTTTGTCATTTCGCAGTTCATACCAAATGCGCGATAAGGGCTGATGTGTGGGATGGGAGAGAACTTGAGGGTATACATGACGAAGATGGGAATGCTAAAACTGTGGATGCTGCGCCATTTGAGGTAATTGATGACCAAGTTATAATACACTTTAGTCATGAGCATACATTAAGACTTTTTTATCAAGATGTTCTTATTCCCGACAAGAATCAAAGATGCAACGCATGCGTCCTTCCATTCTACTACGGCGCAGGCTACATTTGCATGGATTGTGATTTCATTCTTCATCAAACATGCGCTAATCTTCCACGGATGAAAAGGCATGAGTTACACAACAATCAGCTGACTCTTTACCCCAATCAAAAATCAGGAGAAGAACTTGAATTTGGCAAAAGTTTTTTCAGATGTTCTGCTTGTAAAACACTAAACGGCGGTTTTAGATACGAGAATGGGAGTATAAAGTTGGATGTTCGATGTGCTATGATCTCTGGGGAGTTTCGTCATGAAAGTCATCCTCATTCCTTATTCATCGTCTCATCTTATTTTGGAACTTGCTCGATTTGCATCGGATTCGTAAATGATTTGCTTAGTTGTGTTGAATGTTCTCATTTCTTTATGTGCTTTAAATGCGCTACCTTACCTAATGAGGTCTTCTACAAGCACGACAAACATCCTCTCTACCTGCGCTATTACAGACATGAGTATTGTCATTATTGGTGTGAGGTCTGCGAGAAACCAACTAATCCATATAGGTGGTTTTACTCATGTGAAACATGTGCTTCGACTCTGCATATCGACTGCCTACTTGGTAAATCTCCTTACATGAAGCCAGGACACAGTTTCCTTTTAAATAGCCTCGAGTACCAAGTGGTTTCTAACAATCATGCATCTCGACAGTTTTGCATAGTCTGTCACTTGCGGTGCGAAGATGCTTTTGTAATTCAAAACAAGAACGAGATTCTTACATCATCCATATGCTCCCTAGTCTGTCTCTATTCTCTTGTGGGGTATGACCGTATGGAGATGCAACAATGTATTGAATCGTAATATAAACAATAATGTTGTGGCATTGATCACATGTCTATCACTTTTCGTAATATTGTACAGTCTTAGTTTAATGCTAGTTTTTATGAATCTTTCTACGTTTAATGATTATAACTTCTCACTATTTAATTAAATGAAAATCCTTATTTGATTTATGTACAGACTGGTATATATATATATATATATATATATACCAATAATACTCTATCTCTAGATTCTAGGGATGCCAAATCCATTTTATTACGGAAGGACTGGGGTATATACTACAGTTAGTCGAAATCACGAAGAACAAACGATTTTATTGGAGCTAAACAGGAAATTTTGTTAAAAATACATAAATTGAATCAGATTTATTACATACCTGTATACTCCAAGTATATATCCATGCATATACTTCAAGTTAGTAAATTACATATATATATATATGTATATACTTCTAAGTTACACTAAAAGGAGTTGATTATCGTTAATAACTTTATCGTTTATAACTTTTGTTTTGGTTAACACCCGTGTTAATACTATGTAGTAATCTGCACCCTGTGCAATATGAAATTTATCTAAATTTTTTTAGGAGGTTTGTTTTTTAAAATCATAAAATTAAAAAATTAAATTAAATTAGTTTTAATGTAAATTATATAATAGTTTGTGAGAAATAGTTGTGATAACAGTTTATTAAATCAATGTGTGACATATATGTATTCCAATTTTTTTTCTCCGTACTAAAAGAAGATGAAAAAGAAGAAAATAATAAGCCATTCGAAGTGATAGATCAAAACCTAATAAAACATTTTATCCATGAGCATAATCTGAAGGTTTTTCAGAGGGGAAGATGCCTTGCCACACGAGGAAGATAAACATTGTTATGCATGCACCCTTCCTTTAGATTCTGAATTGTGCTACAAATGTACACAGTGTGATTTCAGTCTTCACGACGAATGCGCTAGTCTCCCTCGGAGGAAAAGACACGTGGTTAGCTCACGAAAATTTTATTTGTGTGCCACTGCCATTAAAGGTTACGAAGACTTTGAAAACTATTTTATTTGTCATGCTTGTCAACGTTATAGCACCGGCTTATCCTTTCATAATTATAACGCATATATTGATGTGATGTGATACATTCAAACATGGAAGCCATCCATATTGGTTGTTCATATACTATGCATATGATGGCAAAGGTTGGTGTGACGGTTGTGACTCGGTTTGTCAGTCTCATCTTCGTTGCAATGGTAAAGATGATTGTGGCGTTGGTAAGACACAAGTACGATGACCATCCTCTCTCCTTGTGTTATGGCGAGAAAAACGTGAATTCTACATATTGTTAAGGGATATGCGAAGAGGATATATATTCAAAAAGTTGGTTTTATAGATGCAATGACTGTGGCTCCAGTCTCCACTCTTCATACTGAATGTGTATTTAACAATCTAATACACTCAAGGCCAACTTTACGGATAGGTAGCAGAGAGGACAAGAAGTCTTTTCTTCGAGCTGCACTTAGAATACTATCAGACATAGAGAGGACAAGGACTGGTTCAGGAGAGTTGTTCCAAAGTATACATTTTTCATGTGGATCGCTCAGCTTAAGAGGCTCCCAACGAAGATGAGATTATTAGCGGCATGGGGATTATCTATTCAAACCTCTTGTTGCTTCGGGAAAATGATCTATTTCCTCCTGAGAACTTTCATATAATAACAGATCCGCCTAAAGTTTAACCTTCGTTCTAATTCGCCTTCGTTCTAAGTTTTAGTTCTACTAGATTTTGCGTCCACGCTACACGTGGGTATTTTGTTAATAAAAATTATATGCAATCATTATATTTATTAAGATATAAATTTTATATATTAGTGATTTCATAATATATTAAAAATATTATGATATTAATATAATAATTTTAAGTAAATTTTGAGGTTTTAACGGTTTTGTTTTAAATCTATATACAGTATGTCATATTTCAAAAACATATTATTTGGTCAAACACTTATAAGTTAATATAGCCAAATCAACTAATTTTTTTTTATAAATTAATCAAGAGAAATTAGGTGGGATAGCAGGCTGCAGAGTCTTATTTAGGTCCATTAAAACTAATTTTTTTAATGGTGGGCAAAGACATCCAACCCCCCATCAAATTAAGTCCACGCCATCTCTTTTAAACCATACCATTCAAACTTTTATCTATTCTGACAATTTTTATTTTCCACAACACCATAACTTTTACTAGAAAAACTTTTAGTTAAATTTATTTTTTCTCTTTGTTTTCAAAATTTAAATTGATTTTTTTTCTTTGAGAACCTCCCCAGAAAAACCCTTTTTCTTGGATCTATCCTATTTCCACATATTCTCTCCGCCGATGAATCCGCTGGAAACGATGCTGAGCACTCTATAACACCGTCGACAAAAGCAAGCTTTTTCTTTTATGGAAACCTCCCACTTAACTCCACCTTCGATGGAAGACGTTTCTTTGATTTTGAAGTGCTCCCCTTCAGAAACACTTCCAGACACCCCGTCACCTCTCCGCGTATCATCTTCGTCGACGGTATTACAACATCTGTATTCTTCATCGTCGAGTTATGGAAGGTTATTTTCTTGACCCACCTATTTGATTCTTAGTTCTATATATATATAATCAGCTTTACTTATAGTACTTTCGATTTCTGTTCACTGTATTCACCTAGTTGTGTCTTCTTCTTTGTTGTTATCGATATCTGGTTCTCTCCAATTTGTAGATCTAGAGTAGTTAACTATTTTTATACGCATATCTAGTAAATAGTAACTACATTGAATATCATCATTAGTAATCGTCTACTCTATTCGTCCAATAGATACAATAAATAGCTACTCCATATTCAGTTAGTCTACATAACTACTATGCACATATAACCAACTACTAATATAACTATCGATAGTTAACTACGTAACAACAATAATCAGTTTATAATAGCTAACTTCTTGACATTTTTCCTTTGTAGGGATATGTGTTCTCTTTGACAATGTCAACCTACACCGTTCGCAAATAATATTCTGAACCAGATTCACGATGCACTCGTTGATGTCTTTGAAAGGGTTGCTAGAGAATCTGCAGAAGATGCTTGTTCATGTAAGGTTTTAAACCGAAAATTCAAGGAACTATCTGTCATCAGGGTGCTCAACCTATCTGCCTTCATTAAACGACCCAACTTAATGAAGCGCTACCCTGAAGTCTTTGAGTCAGTGAAAGTAGACAACTACCAATAATCGACTTTGAGTAGTAGATATCTAATCGAAATAGACAATTATTAATACTTACTTAAGTATTAGAATCAACTTTGAGTTGTACGGAGAAAATAGACAACTATTAATAATCGACTTTGAGTACTAGCTATCTAATCGAAATACATTACAAAGTAGTCAACGTCTCTGTGTCATTCAAAACAAACCTTCATTTTAAACATAATCACCTACTAGTAGTCGTCTACTAGAAATATATGAACACAACAAACAAAAAAATTAGAATAAAAATGACGTCTATACTGAAGTAATAGATGACTAGTTGGTATATGTCTATTTATTTTCTACTTGATGCAACTATAGAAAGTATTTTCCATAATGTCTCACACTTTCGGAGTGAAAGGATGTTTGTCTGAGGGAGATGCAATTTTTTTATGAAAATAGTTGTCTACTATATAACCACATACTCTGAGCAAATGATTTTCTATGAAAATAGTCAACTATGATCCTATAATTACCATTGTGACCCCTTGCAAGACACCTGCTGCAAAACCTTGCCGCATTCCTCAAATTTCTCTGTGTCATTTCGACCACAAAGTAGTCAACTACGACTCATTATAAAAAAAGCTTACTATGTTACAAACACTACATAGTTGACTATGTTACCTTCATTTCTCCTCGGGATAAGATCTTTATTTTCTTTGGTTGACCATGTAGTCAGCGCATTAATGGAGGAAGTAGTTCCGAATCACCAGAACATACATGAGTAGGTATTGGGTGGAAAGGTCTTTCATAAAGGGATCTTCAAAAACTGATTGTGCACCTCTCCCATAAGCTTCTAGTTTGCAATGTTGTTGTAAGAAGAAGTTGCCGATAACTTGTTATGTACACCTCTTTTTTTTTGTTGTAAACTTCATACTCATCGTGGCCGACAACAACCATCTACATTTTAAACATAGTCACCTATTAGTAGTTGTCTACTATAAATATATGAACACAACAAATAAAAGAATTATAATTGAAAAGAACGTCTATACTGAAGTGATAGGTGACTACTTGGTATATGTCTATTTATCTTCAACTTGGTGCAATCATAGAAAGTATCGTCCATAATGTCTCATAATTTTAGAATAAGAGAGTGTTCTTCTGTGGTGGATGCAATTTTTTTATAAAAATAGTCGTCTACTACATAACTGCATATTCTAAATAAATATTTTTTTAATAAAAATAGTCAATTATACCATAAAGTTATCTTAAATGATTTGAGCAAAAAAGCACCATGTATAGAAGAAGAGAGAAACAGAGAAGAAGAAGATGAGAAGAATAACAGAGAGGAAGAGCATAATGGTGGAGAGAGAACACATACATTATAAAACGACAACAAATATTGATGTTGGTTAAAATTCTCGCTGCTATTGTTCAAAGAAGCAGGTAAAGTCTCTATCTTTTTAAGTTTTGTGGTCCCAAATCATGTCAGAAATTTTTTTTTTCCAGAATTAAAGAATAAGGGGTATTCAGTATTTTCCACCTATTTTTTGTTGTTGACTTGTGTTATGCAGTGAATTGACTGCTTTCTTATGATAGACAGCTAATTTGTTCATCAGAAACTATTATTGATGCAAATCACCTATTAATCAAATGGTACTTATTAAACATAATATTGACATGATGATAAAATATTATACTTTCACTTCTTTAAATCATGAAAATAATTTTTTCATCATTTTCACTTTTCTTCCAATTATATATGTAACTTTTGAAAACAATAATAAAATTTAAAATTTAATTTTTTTTCTTCTC